CACAGCTGACGATGAATTTCGATCGGCGCTATGCTCTGTGCATTCAAAAACTTTATCACTGACCGCACTTCACAGTTGGCGGGAGCTGGAATAAGAACCTCCATCTTCAACAGCTGCAACGATGCTACTGTGAGAACGCGGGAAGTGCCGTTAGTGCATGCGCCATTCTACGTCATTGCTCTATCACGTACGCACAGTCGCTTCGCGCAATATAAGGTTTGCTAGCTGTGGGACGAGTGGGAAACTTACTTTGTGGACGCGCCTCGTACATGACATAAAGTAGATTTCATTTAGACCTACAGCTTCTATTTGAAACACTTTTTTATGTGGTGGACATTTATCAAAATGTAAAGGAAAATGAATGTCTGATTCTGTAATTTGTGTGTGGTTTAACAGTGTACCTTCAGGTCAGTGAGTGATTCGGAGTTACATCATCAGAAAATGTATAGCCAAAATTCTGTGTGTGAGTCAGAGTGCCCTTTTGGTTTTGTACAGTGCGATCTGTATTCCTTTCTTTCTAATATACCGAGGAGTTAGAAAACCGCGTGTCTATAATTCACGACATTTTCTTTTAAATTTAAGGTGTGTGAACAGAAAGTGTTGTTTGGCTACTGGTCAAGCCTTTTGCCTGATGGGAAAGACATGTTGCATGCACCCACATTATGCGCTTGTCTGCTGAAGGATCCATCATCAAGCAACCGGACGCTAGTGCTGCAGATTCTCATTGCCATGCTCATGCGCTCCAGGTTGTATCTCTCTCAGGCTGAAGAAAGGTACGTCACTTAAATACAACCTGATGCTTCAAATGTATGCCTTCACTTCCTGTCAAAATTACTATTTACATTTGTACTACCGTATTTATCCACTAGCACACTTTCCTTTATAAGATGTGCAGCCCAATTTTGACAGTGTTTTTAAGAAAACAAAATTATTTTCATGCAACTGCGCTAGGTAAAGAGGGTGGTGTCATATTAACCTTTAAACAATGGGTATTTAAATTCCCACATTTAGCCAGGGGGTCAAATATTTTGCCATTTAAATGCTTTAAATGGCAGAAAATTGTTAAATAAATTTGTCTATTCGGTGCAGTTTTTACTGTATGGCTTTCTAATAAAATATAGGCTATGATGGGTGAATAATATTTGCTAACCAGAGTTCCAAAATAATCAGCCTAACAACAGAATGTGCTGTTTAACATTCAGACTGAAAGGAACTTTTTTTGTAAATGACATGTAACACTTGATATGTAAGCTGTTCATAATGCTAGCACTACATACCATATTTAGTGCATGCACATAGCTTAGATGTTTGGATTCAGTGGGTCAGTCACAATTGGTCAGAAAAAGGTACTAAGTCAGGCTCTGAGGGTCTTGTATCAGATAAATGGTGACTCCTAGGGAGCAAACATCGGAATAAGAACAATAATAATTTAGCACAGAATAGTTAAATAATATCAGTTTTGTTTTATGTACAGTTCCAAGAACTTCACATCATTTACAGCATTCTCAGTAACAGTTGGTAATATTGTGTGGGAATTACACCAGTCACTCTGCATGGCGCTCGCAATGGAGAATTCCATTCTTGTCATCATACAGCTTCTTAAATGCCTGGCTGCCCTGATCCAGAACACACCCTACCATCGCCTAAAAACTGGACTGATCACCCAGCTCGTTGAAAATGTTAGACCATACCTCAGACATAAGGGTAATTTTACTGTATTTATGAAACTTTATAAATGGCAAAACTGTGACACTATGTGGTCTTTCAGATCAGTGGTTCCTGAACTCTTTTAATATAAGGCTGCCTTGATGTGAATAAAAATTTAAGAGGTCCCTCAACCTATAAGAATACCCTACAAGTGTGATTTATGGATTTCAAAAGATAATTACTAATGTATCTAAATTATGTTTATGAAGTACATTTCATATTAAATTACATTTTTATAATTTAATGTGAACGTTTCTTAGAAGTATATATGCATTGTATAATGTGTCTGATATGAATTTGAACTTTTTATAAAATTATTTTAAGAAGTGTTTGAATTTTTACTAGTTTACTGTTTATTCAGGTTTAGAATGAATTCATTGTCTTTTTTTAGCCCATATTTCAGTAGTAATATTGAAAAAAGCTTTATAGCCTCCAGGTGGGCTGTGGTTCCTACTTTCTAAAACAGTGTTGTAGGTGGTTACCAACATTTTGGAGGAATGTACCACCTCCATCTTCAGGATGAAGTGAAGATGGTGGTTATGCGCTCTTGAAATGTTTGTAACCACGTTCATAGTCACAATTAAAGTCATTTATTTTCTAAAGTATTACATTTTGAGGATGTATTGGGTGTGGAGGTAAAAATCCAAGCACAGTTTACATGTTCATCTCTAAATGTGATGGTGTTGAATTACAAATTTAAAATTTGTGGACTTTTTTACTGACTTCTGGGTATTATCTCAGTTTAGCTTCGGTTTGTAATATATAACAACTGAATGCCCTATTTTGAGGCAATTATATTTTATCTTATATTTTATTGGTCCTTCATTTTGGTTCAAAGGCCTATATAATTTTAATACTTATTTTACATGTTATTGACCACAGATAGATCTTTGCACAGTTGGATTGTACAGGCTAGCGAATCCATTTCCCAGTGTGCACAGATAGAGATTAGCTCCATCCAACATGCCCAGCTGTGTATGTTCACCTGAGGACGGGGCAAGAGCCGTCTTCCAAACTGTGGTGATTTGAGGAAGCACAGTGGCGATTGAAAAAGTCCAAAAAATTGAAATTGACAATTCACATTATTGTATTTGTGCAAGCTTTTGAATTTCATTTGGTTCTTCATACAGTTTGTTTTATGATAGAAGCATGCACACAGAAACTTAATTATTACTAATCAGAATTCTTTCTGCAATAGATTCAGGCATTAAGGTGGCATCCCTGACAGTTTTGGGGGCTGTCGTAGCAGTAGACCCAGTCACACCTGAAATTATGGACATCCTTTGCGAAGGCTCAGTGATAGATTGCAGGCAGAAAGCCTGTGATACTGCATACAGGGCAAGTGATGTGCAGCGTGATTTGAGCCAGGACAGAAATCATGAAGACAGTACTGCTGTCCCTCTACAGTGTGACAATACACATATATCTTGGTTACTGGAAGTGTGTCTGAAAAATCTCCAACAACCTTCCCTAAGTGAAGGAATAAGAACAATGAGGGTTGATGATGATGTGGGTCTTTTGCCATGTTCAGCGCCTGTGAGGATTGAATCGCAGCAAGTACTTACGATTCTGGCACGAAAGCACTTCATTCCGGTTGTGAACAGACATCTTGGACAACTTATGCAACTGCTAGGATGGACACTGACCGATGCAAATGTGAACGTATGTCTTCACTCTGGACGTGTCATTGAAGCCTTAGGCATTTCCATGTGGCAGTGTCTTAGGGAGCAAGGTAAATACTGATTCTGTAACCTCTCTGACACAGGTTGGTTCAATATACCGCACTCAAGGGGGAGCCTGTCAAATTGTATTTGTTGTACACAGCATAGAAGCAGTTGGCTCAGATTATTTGCTGTCATTATGCTGCTATTTCTAGTGGTTACCTTACAAGTTTAGTACTTACACAATTATGTGTTTCATTTGGATCACTGCTACTGACTATGAAATTGTTAAAATAAATATCTTTCAATGTAAAAATGGCACCTGGAGATTAGTTTGTCAACTCTCAAATTGATCGAATATACCTCGGGCAGTACCACCAAATTTGATGTGTGGAGTGAATGCTGTACCAATGGGATAACATTTAAGGTTACAGTTTTAGATAAAAGAGTTAAGGCTGAGAGCACTGGGCATCGCTCACTCACTTTATGTTGCAGGATATTCTTTGCAAAGTCGATCGTATACTTGGCTTATCGCTCACTCACTTTAAGTTGCGGGATATCCTTTGCAAAGTCGATCGTATACTTGGCTTGTCAAAGATCAGCCCACTTTCTTTATGGAACCCAAAGGTTCATCACCGTGTTCACAAAAACCTGCCAACAGACTCCATCCTGAGCTAGCTGCATCCAGTTTGCTCAATAAATTCCTGTCTCCCTAAGGTCTATCTCCCACCTTTGCCTAGGTCTTCCCAATAGTCTTCTCCCTTCACCCCTCCACCTAAAAGGGAGGGAGGTGGATCATGGAGAAAACTGCGTAAAGATGAGCTTCATGGCCTGTGTTCCTCACCTGATAGTGTTAGGGTGATTAAATTGAGGAGGATGAGGTGGTAGGTACTGCCCCAGCACAGTTATTTCAATACAGAATGTCATCCATTGAAATCATGTTATTTTTTAAATCATTATTGATCACGAAGAACCTGAAGTGGGTATGTCATTGCTGTTCCTCACCACAGTGCACATAGTCTAATGACCTGTGCTTGAAACTTTCCAGATGGATCAACAGCAGGTTTGTTAGACAGAAACCTCCAATTTTGGCAAACAGTTCTCTCAGGACCTCTCATCTCACTGGTTCAGAATGTTGAAGAAGCAAGTCTGCGAGCCGTTGGCTGTGACTGCCTGGCTGCCATCGGAGCAGAAGTGTTCGAACAACTACCAGTAACTTTAACTTCCTTGCATTTAAATTAAATGTTGCAACAGTAAGCATTACTAGTAATGATAAGGGCTACGCCATATGGAGTAGGGGTAAGGCCTCACACCATTCTGGATCTGAGCAGTAGGTAGATAATATGAAAGTGCGCCCAGAGACATCGTAAATGTGGGGATTAGGGGTTCCAGTTCCAACTCATTCGTTAAACTGAACATTGCATTTCAACAGTTTGTGTTGAAGTTACAGCCGACAGACTGGCTATCCTGACATAAGTTCCTAGTGGTTTTCCTCAGTTGCTGTAACCACTTCATAATTTAATACTGTGTAACCTGTGCAGTTGAAAACCACTATTAAATAAACTAACAAGTAAAATCAAACTCATTAGATCTGGGATGCTGCTGCACAATACTTTTAAGTTAAGACACTCATTTCAAAGTGAAATTGCTCCCATTGTGTGATATTACAAGAATTTCTCAGTCTGTCTGCAACTTTTTAAGTCACGTAAAAGAGGGTTGTCTACCGAGATGGCACGAGCAGTGACAGCAAAGTCAGTTTTAGAAGCCATGCTCACATTTACTGCCCTTTTTAACCATGGTCATGTTTTATGCTGGGGGTGTTCCTTTTCAGTATACTAACACTGAAGAAGAAATGATAAATATGAAAAGAAAAAGATGCTACTGTCCCATACAAATATACAGTGGAATCTTACTGTGTGTTGTGACAGTACTTGAATACTCCATGAGAAATTGCTTGGTAGTGAAGAGCACATATTGTCATAGTAACAACAGTGCTGTTTGTATTGCAGCGCAACAAACAGATTCTGATAGTCACATTACTCTTTGGATGCAGTCATGATGAGGATATCGGTGTGCGGTCTTCTGCAGTGCGGGCCCTTGCAACATGTGTTCTGTTTCCAGCACTAAGAGCAGTATGTCACACCAGTAACATATTTTCTTGTGTGTTATTTAATAAAATGAACCCTTAATGTAATAGTTTGAATTGCATATATTGTATTTTTATGACTTATTCCATATCCTATTGTCATCTGACTAACTTATGGATCCAAAGAATGTACTATTATGTATGTATAGAAACCTCCCCCTGTTTTATCTCCAAAACTACTCAGCAGGTAAGAGTTTATAGGCACATTGACATGTCAGTTATTTTGATTTTGCATGAAGCTCAAATTTAATTAATTACACTTCTCAAAAGTAGCTCATTTTGTGACATAAACTTTAAATATGATTGTGATCTACAACATTATTTGAAGCGCTTTTTTCAAAATGCTCAACAATTAATGAAATACAAAAAAAAAATAATTTCTGACTATGCAGTGTGACGGCACCAGCAATCAGTTCTCTTTTAACGATATGAAGAGTAAAATAGTACACAGTAAATTTGCCTTCTCTGCATATTTCCAAGAAAAACTTGAACTTCAAGTGTGCATAACTCCTTCAATATTGAGAATAAGTTAAAGAATTATTACTCACCAACATATGTGACGGTGAAGTATGGAGTTATGCCATGGGTCCCCATAAATGTGTGTGTCTATGATTATATTGTTAACAAAAGGAAACTAATTTTATGTGCTTCAACTAACAAAGTACTGAAGGTATGATGGTTCATACATATAATCACTAAGAGATAAATTGCTGTGTAGAATATCCATGTAAAGCATTGAATATGCAGTGATATGAGGACACAGTGTTATAAAATGTGTTTGTGTGTTCCACATGCAGTTTGTAGGGGTGTACAGAAACTGTACTGTCCTTACACAGTAAAGTAAGGCTTGTGCCATTTGTTTCAGGATATTCACTTCATTATTGATGCAGCTGAATGTGCAATTAGAACAGTTCATGATGAGTCATTACTAGTGCGCACGAAAGCGTCATGGTGTCTTGGCAACCTAAGTGAAGCCCTGGTTCTCAGTTCGTATGTATACCATTCAGTTGCTTCGTGAGCCATCACAGTTTTGCTGAGGCTTCTAACAAATTTTATAAGCCTATATTTACAAATGATAAATATTTCATTATCTGTCAGACTTTCTAGTGCAGCCTGTAAGGGTTTACACTAATATTTGAAAAATATTTTTAAGCCAATGTACATATGCGCTTCAAATTAAAGACATTTACATTTAAACCCCAAAACTGCTGTCACATATATTGAAGCAGATATTTTGTTGGCAGTGATCACAGTATTTAATATTCCATTACTGCTATAAGGTCAGGTAGGCCAGCTAGTAGTACTTATTTTAATGCATGTCAACAGCACTTTGTGATTTGCTGTGTGTGAACCTGGTCTCCTTTAGCCGCTAAATTTGGTTTCCCTATGCTAGGTTGAAGTCGTACAACATTATTCTGTCGTGATTACTGATTTAAAAGTAGGTTTTATATTTCTGACTAACTTAGTGTTTGATAAAGTTTAAAGGGAATACAATATTAAGAGACTCTAGGAAACAAAGGATGCATCACAGCTGAGTGGTGTACAGGGACAGGCTAGTTAAGAAGGAGTAAGTCAGCTTCAAAGGATCTTCCTCAACAGCAAGGTTTATTCAAAGCTCAACCCTAAAGTCAGATGCTGCAGTGCATGGTTTCTGACAATTTAGATTAAACCTTCATGTGACAAGGAAATAATAAATTCAGTTGCATATCCTGAGAAGAAAACACAATTTATAAAATTAATTAATTAACCTTCACTGTTGTAATAATTGAGTATTTCAGAAAAAACTTAATGGAATGTGGTAATGAATGAAAACATCACTGTCAGTGATGCAATGTAACTTCCAGTTTTTATTCACAAAACTGACAAACTTCTTCAGCAAGAATCCAGCCGTCATTTTCAAGGTAGCGGTATACACAAATAAGAGGCAACACTTAACTTATCTTCAGTGCCAATAGATATTAATATTGAAACTGTTCAAACCAAATTTAAATTACAGATGACAGATTTTCAATATGATACAGATTTGAGAAATGCATTTTCAACATGTTCAACTTCTTGACTTTTATAAACTGTTTACCTGATCAAAAGTTCCCAGTGCTTAGTGACTACACACAGCAAATGACAAATCTTGTCGGAAGAACGTAAGTTTGTGGACAATTCCTTTAAATAAAGTGGTTGAGAGTAATCTATAAATTGACTCAATGGCAAAAGATTGGAAAGCTGTCTCCAAGTGTCTACTTCTTGTGTACCTACAGATACTGACAACTTGGTAATACGCTTCTTGCTGATGTTCATTTGTCCTTCAAAATAAAACTGCAAGTTATGTCCTAAACACTTGTATCAACTTTTAATTGCATTAATACTAACTAATCCGGGGTGCGACGCTAACCACTCACCCCCACTTAGTGCTGAGGTTTAGAATGAGTAGGAGCTATACCATCTCTCCCCCCAAGCGCTTACATGGCGTGTAGTGGGACAGCTTGTAATATACTTCCTTGAATAAGGCTGAATGTAGGATCACATGAGTTGAGAGGATGCTTATATAGGATAATCTAACTGTTCTTTCCATCCTTCCATAATAGTAATGATCAGTGTATCACATTCTGAACAAAATATATTGATAACTTCACAGATTATCAGTTATAAATTTAATATGCTGATGTGTTTATAAACCTTAATTACAGAATTAACTATAAGATTTTATATGCTTCCAGGATGGCTGATGACACTGAAGATATTCCCAAAGAACTTTTTTTAAAACTGATGGAAACAAGTATTAAAGCTGCTCATGATAATGATAAGGTACAATGACAATATAAATTTCTTCACTTTTCATGAATTAGGACCTCTGACCTATCCTGATTACGAATGTATAAATCTTTGAAGCATTTATTAGGACTCAGCAAGATGAGCCCAATTTCAATGCCTGTACTTACACAACATATAAAAAATGCAGATACACATTCATGCCCCAAGTCAGATTTAACACTTCACGCCCAGAAGAACTTAAATATTTTACATCCCCAGGCCACACAGTTTAAAATGCCAGGTGATATAATACGAAAAAAATTAACTTGAGCTAAAGATACAAAGAAGCTCTATATTAACACAAAAACACAATAATTTTCGCTTTTTCTCGTCTCTCAGCATTCAAAATATCACACCAAATTATTGACAGTTTCTTCCACTGGTGTGATGCCTCTCAAAAGAGTTATCTAAACAATGGCCAGCATCTCTCTTTGGACAGTACGCAGTAGCAAACATCTTCACAGCGTTCTTGGTTTAATGCTTGCAAACACTTTACGTGTTCTTTGCAACAACCGTTCACATTGCAATGTGTGGCTGGAACCTTGTAAGCATAATAATTTTCCTCTACCAGTCTTCTTAATAGATGTAGCCCCTGGCTGTTCTGTCATTTATTTTCTGACACCACACCAACCATCCAACGAACCGGCAACTTTATCAATGTAAATTTAGAAAATAAAATTTCTAAATATATTCACCAAGTAGCAATGACTTTCACACTGCATGAAAACACGTTGCTTGGTTTCTTGCAGGTACGATCCTGTGCAGTGAGAGCGGTGGGGAATTTTGTAAGACTAGTCACAGAAGATCTGATGAATAAAAGTGATTTTAGAGAATGTAATGATAAAGCTATTGCTGTGTTGGTGCATAATTCAACAAAAGGAAATAACATGAAGGTATGGCAACAGGATGTATTTTTAATCTTTGTCTGTGCCTCTTCTAATGAACTTTAAAGTCGACAATAAAAACCCAAAGACGTTGTCTGACAGACCGACATTTCCCAGTGATAAAACGTGACCGTACCATTTAATCAAATGTACAAATAAAGACAATAATAGACATCTTCATCCTGAATGTCAGCAAAAAATGCAGTCAAATTAAAACTTAAAAACAGAAAGTAAAATGAAGCCATTTATTATTCTAGGTGAGATGGAATGCATGTTATGCCATTGGAAACATGATGAGAAACAGTGCCTTATACTCAGTGAACTCTGTTTGGCAGGTAAGGCTTGCATGTACGTTGTCATCTCCTTAACATGTGATAAATATTTGTTAAGTACCAGTGATTCCAAGGACTGCTTGACATTTAGAGATTGCGCTTTGTTGCATTACACACACAATGCACCATGTTTGTAAATTTAACTACAGAGAAATGCTTCATACAGTATTTCCATGTATGTTTATTAAGGATCTCACCAGTTTTACCTCAGCCACAATCGCTCACTATAAAATGGAAGAGTAAGTACAGCCACAGTGTTGTCATTTCACATTCTGCAAAAGACGAAAGAACGCTCAACAAAGATAGAAGTGGGTTCCGCTTGTGATGTTCATGCCAAACTTAAGATACCACAAGTCGTCTTCTCCTTATAAAGTAATAAGGAAAGTAAGATAGAAGAGATGGTTCAGTTTAAATAAAATATTTTATACGAAGACATGCACAATCCAAATTTGAACAGAAGTATGTTCATGTCTAGACAGTTACCACTGTTACTAATCAATGTGCATCTTATTTTAATTTGCTTTCAGAACACAGTATTCTCTGCCCTGACTAAGCTAGTGCAGGACGCTCGTAATTTTAAAGTACGGATCAGTGCTGCTACAGCACTGGCTGTCCCTTCAAATAGGCAGCAGTATGGTTCCTGCTACATTAGCACATGGACTGCCCTGCTCAATGGACTTGATAATTCACAGAATATGGAAGATTTCAGTGAATATCAGCACCGTGACAGTCTTCTTAATCAGGTTAGTATTATGTAACCCAAATTTGCTTCTTCTGGTACAATACCATCCAATAACAAGTGTGTTGCCTAATTTCTTCAGATGTCTGCGGTCACAGCTTCTGCACACAATTTACCATTCTGTCCCCTCTGATTTTGCTTTAATTGTATTTTTGACTGTCTCACTTCTTATGTTGCACCTTTCCACTCCTGGATGCTGTTGTTCTCCATTGAAACTTGATATTTTATACTCTGGGTCTGTGTCAAGAGAAGTCATTACTTACAGAACTTGAGTATCTTAGACTGAAAGTTTAATTGAATTTGCAACTTCAGATTAATCACAGATGCATTACAATTTAATTTTTAGATAAAGTATTTTTTGGGCAATGACTTTGAATTTGGGTCATGCCATAGCTCAGGCAGTTGACTGCTGGCTTCAAACTGCAGAGACCCTAGTACATACTCAGTCCACATGGAATTTCTGGTGGACAAAGTGGCACTGAGACACGTTTCTCTCCGAGTCATTCCATCTTCTCCTCGGCATCATTCAACTGCTGCTCCATATTCACTCATTTGGGGGCTGAACAATGGGCCCATCAGCGGCCGCAGTTCTACAAAGATATAGTCTTCCCCCTTTGCAACAATAACAATAATTCAACCTGAATTCAGTGTTTAGAGTTTTATTTTTAATTCCTCTTTTGAGCTAAAATAACAAGTGCTTGCTCCAAAAAAATAAATTATGTTATTACTTTGGCACTTGCTTTCTGATGAGTTAACTGAATTCATATGTATTCTTTTTACAAATTATATTTAGCATAACAGTTTTGGCATGACTGCCAGAATATGGCTCTTGACACTTTTGGAAGGTGCCGGCAACAACAGAATTGTCTCCAGCAAATGAACTTTGGTGAACTACCTAAATTAGACAAATCAGACTGATACCTAAGTAAAGTCAAGCATGTTATACAGTCAGATCTATTTTGCATGTCAATAACACTGACACTGAAATCAGTTTATTTAACCTGTTATCACTCTATAATGAAGTATGGAATAGATTTTGGGGTAATTCATCCAACAGGAAAAAAATATTCACTTTGCAAAATGAACTTGTTATATTAATGGCTGTCATCAAACCTAGAAATTCATGTAAATGTCTGTTAAGACATAGAGATCTTTGCTGATCCATGTGAATATGTATTCTCATTAATGAACTATAGAGAGTAAGTCAAAAGTAGCTGCACAACTTTGGACAACTGTAACTATGTTACCTGCAGCCAAAATGTGCTGATATCAGCAGATATCTATAGAGCGTAACCTCAAGTTTCGTTTGTTTGTTGTAGTTCTTCACATTGCCTCTGAGAGCGCTTGTGAATTGTGGAAAACAAAATGGAGACTTATAGTGGCGAGGAAAGAGCACAATGGGTGTTCTAGTTCAAACAAACTAAGAATGCTACTCAATTTCAGCAAGATGGTGCACCTCCTCACTTCCATACAGATGTCAGAGCATGTTTGGATCCCCACTTCCCAGGTCGGTGGATTAGACGAGCAGGTCCAATTGCTTGGCCACCTCGTTCACCGGATCTTACACCAGCAAATTTTTTCCTGTGGGGATACATTAAGGATCATGTTTACCACCCACCCTTACGCAAGGATCTTAGAGAATTATAGAAGAGGATTCATTTGTTCGAATCAGAACACACATTGTGCTCTTTCCTCGCCACTATAAGTCTCCATTTTGTTTTCCACAATTCACAAGCGCTTTCAGCGGCAATGTGAAGAACTACAACAAACGAAACTTGAGGTTACGCTCTACAGATATCTGCTGATATCAGCAAATTTTGGCTGCAGGTAACACAGTTACAGTTCTCCAAAGGTGTGTAGCTACTTTTGACATTCCCTGTATTTTAAATAACCAAGAACATTTTCAAACTAATTTTTATACAGTGTCAACACAAGGAATAAGAATTAGCTCCTTAGAACTGCCCACTTCTCGTGATTGCATAAGTGTATATTATGATCAATAGAATTAAATAAATATGTATATATGCATGTTGTATCAATGTGTACTGTTGCAAAAAAGCATGAAATGTGTTGGCAAAAGTTTAATGTCATGGGCTCTTTTTCAGATATTTTATAAAACCTGATCTAAGTGTAGAGTACACATTACTGACAGTGTACATGTGCATCTTTTGACATTCTTGTTTTCTGATTTTCCAGATCTGTCTGACACTAAGCCACCTGGCAAGTGTGGCCACAAGACGAGATCTAGCTCCTCTTCAAGATCTGCTTACGTTTCACCTTGATACACTACAGCAACATTTGCTCAGGTTCCACGAGCGAGTTGTTCCTGAGAAGGCCGCAGCACTAGCCGCTGCTTCCAATCATGCCACATCCCTACTTCACCTGTCTGACCTAACCCCTAATGAGAACAGTGCTGCTGCTCTTCTCACCAGTATGTTTTTACAAGACCCTGACCTGCCCTTGCATCAAAATTAAATTGATAATAAATATAATTCTATGGTTCCTACACAAGGTTTGTCTGGAGAAATGGTTAAAATGTGAACACTACAAACCAGCTGTACTGATACGATCAATAAAAGGCACATGCACATTTTAAACTCTCACTTCCCTAACTGGAGTAAAATTAATTAACATCAGAAAAACAGAAGTTGATGTGTTCCATTCAAATTCTGCCCCTCCTTGTTTCTCTAGCATCACTGAAAAGTGCTGGAAATGAACTAAGTCCATGTTTCTGACCATTTTTAATATTAAATGCAGCAGACAGATATTTATCCACATGGGCTTTATTATAATTTCATACGACAGAAATATTCATGTTAATTCTCACAAAACTGGAAGGACTCTTGATAGCAGTGAATATAATCACCCAATGCTAACACCCAGAGGCAGACTTCGTGTTTTTCACTGCCTGCAGTGCAGATAATTTCTTGACAGGATGAAATCTTGAAACAAACAAGATCTGAATTAGATTCACAGCTTCATATTTAACACAATCAAACTGGCCCCTTATGTTCACAAGAACACAATTTCTGCAAAACCTGAACTTACGCAGCAGTGTCCACTTGCTAACCTCTTCTGTCTTAAATAGAAAATCATCGTCAGAATGAAACCTGAGTCTCGGACAGTTACAACTTCAAGACGAAGCGTGTTTATTTATTTCCTTATATATCAGTTCACTAACAAAGTATGTTAAACACATCAAATGTGCGGTCACAACAAGGAACAAAATCTGGAATCTGAACATCCTCACCATCCACTGCTAAAACCAGAAGAAGTAAACCTAAACAAAAGTCAAACTAATACCACATGCCATGAAGTGAATGCACAGAAACTATCACTGTTACCGTCATACATCCTTCATCCCATTTATAAGTCCACAGAAACACTATGAACTGATTATCTATTACAATGTTTTGAGAAATAAAAGATGACTGAGTAACAAACCAATGGATTTACCATTATCCAGCCACAAAACCAAGATTTTGTATGCTGTAACTCCAAGCACAAGTTACTGTACAAGGTAAACAAGGAACTGTCTTGTTTTATTATATGCAGTCCTGATGTTAAAAATTAAAATATAAAAGTCACCTGGTTCCTATGTTCCTTGACTGTACAACACATTTACATTAAGTCACATTGAATACGTAGGTATTCCTCGACAGGAGCGAGGCTGCTAAATGACAGATGATTGCTTTCAACAGAAAAGAACACAAGACAGCATTTCTTGGGGCACTTCTGAGGAATTCAACCTCAATCAGTCAAGTGTCTGAAGTTCAGTTTTACAAAATAAGTCCTACTACATTAGAATATTGTACAATCATGCTACATGGAGTGGTTCTACTGGTTCCTAACATCACGTTTCATCTACAAAAACTGTAATACATAATGCACAATGAACGGCAAGAAGCTTTCTGGGATCTGAAATTCTCACAGCGATGAAAATATAAATTATGGTCCCATGGGCTGTGATGCCATGTGACCTTGTAGGGTTCTGTTAATATTTGGGAGAAGTGCATCACCTTACTTCAACCCTGAAAATAGAGGTGGGATGTTCCTCCCAAATGCTGGTAGCCAAATACAAGAATACATGTCAGAATGCAGAGGAGAACAATCAGAATATGAGAAGCTCATAATGTTCATGACAGAAGGAAGAGATTGAGATACAACATAGCTCATCAACCAAAATAATCTGAGTCCATGGAGACAAAACAGACAAAGATGAATTGCTCAGAAGTGCCCCAGCTCATGAAAAATTAAGTTTACATATACACATTAATAATTTAACTACAGAATGCAATGTATTACATACAGTGTAGCATGGACTTGCTACTGATGAATGTTGATGTTGATCCCTATTCCATGTTAGGCTAAAGGAAATGTCAAAAAATGTCTCTGATAAAACCTGTTTCAACAAGAATGACATGCCATGATCATCCCAATAACACACCACCATTTGACACTTGTGACATTGACATGTATTTCTCACCAGGCTCCACTCCCAGACTACAACTGATCATGTCAATAATGTGTCATCAATATCCTCATCCTTGCCCTCTGGTTGGTTTGCAACTTTGCGCAAGACTTTGCTGATGACGTCGCTCAAAGATTCACGGGCACCAATATCTAGCAGGTTCATACAGCGCTGAAACAAAACTCCAGTAAAAATTTTGGCATTGGTAACTTTCACCATGTTACATGTTAGCAACTCATTGGGTGACACTGACACAGCTCAGGCGGTTAAGACACCGGTCATTCAGTGTAAAGGCTAGTGCAGCAGTGGGATAAGTTTTTCTCCACATGCATTCATTCTTCCCTGTCCTCAGTTCTCCAGTATCAGGGGATGGCACAAGCCACAGTGTACAGTACTCAGTCAAAGAACAATAACTGACCTGCTGAGTTTCATCCCCTTGCCGAAGTCTGAGAACTGACACCAGGGCAAATTCACTGCAGGCCTTCACATATGAATTCTTCTCTTTGGTACCATTTACCAACATAGGAATGAGCAGGCGCAGAAGTTCTGGTGCCATGTGCTGTGGTGGCACTGTCTTGGCCAACATGGAACACACTGTTGCCAGCAATTGTTTCACCTCATTGCTGCTGTGATTCATGGACTGAAATAAGAATCACACACTTGGCAAATAACATTTTGATGCAAACTCATATCAAAACTTGAGACAATTATACAGGGTGTGGTGCAAGTATGCAATGTATTGCACGTCACTACTGTGGGCGACTGGTTGGAGTGGGGAAAGCAAATGTTGCACATGCACCTATATTTTGGCATGCAATTTAGCAGTCATGGAGAAGTGGACAGTGAGTCATCACATTTTCATTATGTGAACTTATTTTGAAACTAAGTCTATAGGGCAAATGCAAGGACCTTTTCAACATGGGTTTGATGTTCCAAGGCATGGCATAATTCCTTTGTGTAATGACATTTTAAAGTGGGTTGGTGATTTTAATGTCTGTGGTATGGTAGCAAATAAGTATGGTAGTCCTGCATGTTCACCAGAGAACAATGAATGAGTGAAGGCGGCAGAGTCCAGCACATTACAGCAAAAGTATATAATGTGGGAAATGTAGTGATTTGTTTTTATTTAATTTGTTACTTCCATAGACGCACATTATATTATGTATTCAACTTACAAAGGCTGTACTGCAATTACAATAATATTAACATACCCTGACAAAAGGAGTCAGAAGTTGCTGTGGCAGGGGTTGGCCTGTTAGCATTAAATGCTGGAAAAGATATCCACACCCTCGGACTCCATTCATTGCTATCGGTACCTGAAAAAGCAATTCAGAATGAAACACGGAACAGTCTTATATGAGTAGAAGCCAAAACATATATGATGTAACTGAAAGGGTGTTCACAACAAACTGCAAGTAAACAAATTAATGTATATCATCGTCAATGGGCAGTCCACTTAACGAACTAAGTAGCCTAGCCAACCAACTCTACTACACAAAATCTTTAAGCTTCAGTACTGAGTCTACAAAAGCACACCACTGCGCCACATCCCAAGCCAGATAAAGGTCAGAGAGATTAAAGGTTCCCATGGTAACACGTATTAATTTATCTTACATACGCATGCATACATGCATTTATGAATGTGCAAACTGTGTATGTGTGTACAGAAAGTGTTTACTAAAAGCCAAAGCAAATCTGTTGAACAGTTGCATAAACAGCTGGGCTTAAAGCAAATCTCAACTTTAATCAATGTTTGACAAAACTTATGTTTAGTAAGACTTGAGGTTCTCACAGCAGTGAGTATGAAGATGGCTCTTTTCTGGACTGTAACACCATGTAGGGCACTGATGACAGAGGCAGCATTGACTTCTGAAACATTGGTAAACTTCTACTACACTACACAGTGCTACACCCAGAAGACAGCCATCCTTTAAAATACTTCCCTAAACAATTTGGATGCAACAATCCCTGTCCAAAGTTAACAGAGACAGACAAGTTGCGTCAATGATCTGCCATACAGACAAACAAACATACCCTGTCTCCTGTAAGGTAAGCCAACAAAACTCTGCATATCTTGTCCTTGTAATCATCTGTATAAATTTGAGGAGATGCTTCTTTGAGGGCAACTGAAAGGGCAGAACTCCGGCCATGGCGTACAGTCCAGTCCAAAGGCAGGTCATCATCTGTGGAACAGATTAATAGATTTGTGTCATCAAATATCATCCCTTATTTTTACCCGTAAAGAGCAACTAAGCAAAGTTTGAATGCGTACAGTGACATCTTGAAACAAATATGCGACATTTTTCATTGTAAATAGAAACACATATCTGAATCTAATACAATTTAAAATAGGTGATACCATCTAAAACTGGGGGTGAAGATATTTAAAATTATAGAAAACTTACTTTGATGATACAATCACTTTAAAATGTGTGCGATGATATCAGATGACAATTTACAGTTCAAATTTATAACACACTGCTGGCTTGCTGACTCTTAACTATAACCCTGCTAGCTGTAATTTTCAGAATTATAGCAATAAGAGACACAAACAAGAATAAGATACTCGAGGATGGGCTGTATTGATAGAGATTATTAACACACGATACTGTAAATAAGAGGAAAAAAAATACCATACAACAGTGAATACAGAAAGAAGTTCACTCTACTTTAAGAGAGTCAATGTAAATGAATACACATAATTAAAAACAGACAAAAAGTGAGAACTCTATGCAGCTTACTGACAACAAAAGATAGACAGCCAGCAGCTGAGAGACAAGTGCTGGAGCACAAGGAAAATCTGGTAGGGCTCACACTCATCCAAGCATCAGTAAAATTGTGAACAAATAATTAAAGTTTCACTTTCAGATACAATAAATGTAGAAACATTTCTGAGTATGTGAATGAAATATACATGCTGGATTAATATTTCTTTACTTCCAGTTTATTTTTATTTAATGTCAATGCACGTGCACACGCATACACACAAAATAAGATACAGCACTAACACACCAATAAATTCAGTAATCTTATTCAATGGATTCTTATAGACTCCTGGTAACGGCTAAACAAAACTTACACAGGAGGTGATCTGTAAGGGTAGCATGAAGTTGCTCAGATGACAGCCAGCGACAAAGTGAACCCAAACAGCCAGCTGCTGCAGCTCGTGTGACATCTTCTGGGTGACCCAGCATTCCTGTCAGAGTTACGTATACAGCTTTACGAAGAGGTTCTGTCATCTTATCCCCAGCTGGACTGATGACACCTCTCATTGCCTGCAGCATTGTCTCCCTGAATAGAATCAAAACTATTTCCTATAACAGCTCTTAACACATTATTCCCATATTCAGTACATAGTCTACTTCATATGTGAGTCACAAAAGTTTTTGGAAACAACTAACAGAAGTCTCAGTGTAACAATTTTGACTTTTCTTCCAAAGCACTAAGAGTATCAAGAAAGAGCATAATAATTTCCAGGAGCCCCTAACTACACGACACATACAGCTAAACAGCTAGTAAGTAGTATGGAATTCTGACATCACCAAATGCACAGCCCAAAAGAAGCACTTACAATGTACAACTCGAGTTTCATAACTAATCTTTGAGTTTTAGTCATTGTGAATACATTGACGCATGTTTTACAAAAAAATTTCCTTAAAAATATTCCGCTTCCAGGAATTATTTTTAAAGGCTTAAAAATAAAATTATTATTGTTGTTCTTGTTATAATCATCATCATTTAAAATTTTATCCGGATGCGTAAACTATGAACTTCATTCACTATCATCGTTTAGAACAAATGTAACATAAAAATCCAGTTTGAGAAAGCAGACAGAAAATTTAACTTTATGAGTAGAGCCACTGAACGTAAAAGCCCTTTAAGACCTGTAATCAGGGGTTCATCAATCAGACAAAATTTATACTCTCCCCTACATGATAAACTGTCACTGATTACAAAAGACTGCACAGTGGACAGCTGAGACACTACAAACAAAAGCTTGTAGAATCTTGCATGTGTTAAAACAGTTGAAGTGAAAAAGAACCAATGAATCAATCACATACTGATGAATAAAAAAAAAGAAAAACTGAATTTCACTGCCTGAATGTTCTGACATGTCAGTGTCATGTTTGTAAAGTTCCTCATAATTGTCCTACTTAAAAATTTACTGCTTCTTATATGTGGAGAAATAAAAAGTGAGTGCATGAAAGAATGTTAACACAAAAAATAATAAATAAAGAACAGAATTCGAAATGTCACAAACAGCTCTTACATAGGACCAAGACAGAAAAAACACTGGTGTGATGTTTTTTTTTAAGGAATGTGGCGGTGACTCTACTGGAAACTTGTGTATCAGTACAGAATTCTTGCAAAAAAGAGATTCTACATTTTTACACAATTTATTATGTTCTTATGCTCATCTTAGAACTGAAATGCATAAAAATATTCATTCCT